CTATCCTTCCCCTTCTCCGCCTCCTCCTCCTCCTCCTCCTCTTCTTCCTCCTTCCCATCCTCCTGCTCCTGCTCCTGCTTCTGCCCCTCCTCCTCCTGCTCCTGCGCCATCCTCCTCCAATAGTTTTCCTTGTGAGTCACTCGTCCCTGTCGCGCCCCGAGGCCAGTCGAACGGGCGGGCCAGGCGGTTCGCCTGAGACTTCCTCACCACTTCTAAACCTGAAACTAAAGGATATAACAATGACACACATGGAGGGCGGGCGGTTTTCAAAATGTGACTCTCGCCTTTGCGCCGCGCGCATTCGTCTTTGAACAGTTGCACGAGTTTCGCGGATTGAAGGCGGGTCGTTCTCAAAATGTGGCTCTCGCAACGACGCAGCGCACATTCGCCTCAAGAAAGTGCATGAGCTTCACGGATGGAAGGCGGGTGGCTTTCAGAAAACAGCGCACCCCACTCTGGATCGAACGGCGCGCGTCTTCGCGACGTGATCAGCGGCCCCGCGCACTTCGCCCGCACCAATATGGAACGCCTGGGAAAAAGGTTCGAGTGCACGGCCACTGTCAGTCGGATTGGAAACACACTCGGGCAATTGGCGGAGAATGGCCTCTTCGATGTCATCGCAGCAAGCTTGGCTTGAGGAATCGAGAAAGCAGCCGACCCCCTGCAAACTCTCGGGCCACCGAGCTGGGGCCTCTCGGGCGGGGCCCGTGTCGGGACGGCATCCGGGCACCCCCCAGAGCCCTCTCGAGGAGACGCAGCTGATAAAAAGTGATGGTTTTTGTTTATCTGGCGGTTCAACATTGGGCGGAAGGGGGGGGGGAGGGAAGGGGGGGGGGTCTGGCTCAGGACCTCTGCTTAGTGCAACAGCTTGGCACCGTGCGTCCTGAGGGGAAACTCTACCTGCTCGAAACAGGCGCCAAAAACCGGCCCAGATCTTCTCCAGTGGGGGGGGGGTTGGGGACCCGCGCCGATCGGCAAAACAATGCATAAAAAACTGTCACAAACCACGCCGTGCATCCGTAAATCATGAAGGACGCGTGGGAAGAGATCGCGACTAAGAAAGGGCACGTGCTGCGGCAGGTGCGCTCGGCACAGTAGGGGGAGGAGAAGGGGAAGGAGAGGCGAGGGTGCATGCAACAACCTCGGGCAATCACGACTGTGCACGGCAAGATCCCCCCTCCAGAGAAGCCGCAAACGGCAAACATCCTCCCGTCGCAATTTCAGGTGAGCGTTTGTTCCGGCGTTTCGACATTCGGCGGAAAGGGGAGGGGAGAGGGGGTCTTCAGAACCTCTGCTTGGTGCGACTGTCTGTTGGGTCCTATGAGGGGAGTCTCCACCTGCTGAAACGGGCGCCCAAAACAGCCAAGATCTACTCCATAGGGGGGGGGAGGGGGGGATGCAAGGGCCCGCGCCGATCGGCAAAACAATGAATCAAAACCGATCACAAGGGCCCGTGCTGCGGCAGGTGCGCTCGGCACAGCAGGGGACGAAAGGGGGAGGAGAGGCGAGGGTGCACGACGCAACAAGCTCGGGTGGTCGAGATTGTGTATGGCAGGGCCCCCCCCCTCCAGAGAAGCCGCAAACGGCAAACATCCTCCCGTCGTGATTTGTTGAAGGGGCCCTGAAACACACACACACACACACACACAACTATATATATATATATATACAAATAACAGGAACCCCCATACTTTCCAATATTTTCTGGGTTCTTGTCGTGCCCCCCGCTTCCCGTATTTTGCCATATTGTTTAAGGCATTAACGATTAAGTGTGTCTGTGTTTTTGTCCCTCCTGATTTCTGGCACGCGAACGTTGAATTATTCGGCGATTCGACATTGGGCGGAAAGGGAGGGGGGAGGGGGAGGGGTCTGGCCCTGGACCTCTGTTTCGTGCGATTGCTTGGGACCGTGCGTCCTTTATGGGAAAGACTCCACCCGCTCGAAACAGGTTCCCAAAAACAGCCAAGATCTACTCCATGGGGGGGGAGGAGGGGTTTGGGGGCCTGCGCCGATCGGCAAAACAGTGAAGAAACGAAACGATCACCTGGCATGCCGCGAGCAGGCCTGGAGCGCGGTGTTTGCGATTCGCGGCAACGGCCGTCGCACTGGGGATGTACCCCCCGCCCTGGCAACGTCACGGATCGCGCCAGGGGTGCCGATTGGGAATTGCTACGGGCAGCTAACTCCCAGACGGCCCCGGCGCGAATCGTGACGCTGCCAGCCTCCTCGCCTCCCAATCAGGGAGACGTAAGGCTCGGATACGGGGGACTCGGCTTGGCCTGACAGGGGCCATCATGGAAATGGCGAGATCCAATCTGAAATCTGACGCGGGCCCCCGCTGCAGACCTCCCACGAAAACCACACCGTCAAAATCCATGATGCGCTCGTCAAAAAAAATCGGCAAACCCGAGTGCCGGCTTACTCGGGTCTCACCCTCCCCCCCCCGGGCAACGGCCGTTATATCGGCATGGGGATAACAAAAACTCGCCTGGACCCGAAAGCCTCCGAAAGCGCTGCTGCCTCCCCACCGCCCTGCACGGTTCCCCCCGGGGCCGTAGGCGACCCGAGGAGGAGGAGGAGAAGGAGGATGAGGAGGAGGAGGAGGAGGAGGAGAAAAAAAAAAAAGAGGAGGAAAAGGAGGGGGAGGAGGAGGAGGAGGAGGAGGAGGAGGATCGCTGAACAAACTGCCAAGACGGTGAGCGGGCCACCTGTGGGCAGTCCCTCGGGGCCGCTGGCCGCATTTGGGATTGCCAATGGGGGAGCCCATTGCTTGGGGAGACCCCAACTCGCAGCCTGTTAACGGGGGATGCTAACGAGGACCCGCCCTGGCTAGCAGCCCCACGTCGAACGCCGGCTTGGGCCCCCGGCCCTGGGACGGGGGAGGGGGAGGTAGAGAGGAAAAGGGGGGGGGGCAGTGGGAGCCGGCGGGATGAAGGTGGCGCGGCGGGGGGGAGCGAAGAGGCATGACGGCGTCCTATCCCAACCATGTGCCACATGACGGCACTGCCTGCGTCAGGCTTCGTCCCAGCATGCAAGGTGGGCTCGCCCCTCCCCCAGTCGAGCTTCCTAGACCGGCCCACCTCCCTAACGGCGAAACGAAGACCTGATGCCCCACGGCCTAAGACTAATACGGGAGATCGGAACGGAATTACCTAAGCCCAGCCCACCCCCTAACAGGCACCCAGTGGAAAGGAGGAGGAGGAGGAGGAGGTAGAGAGGAGATAGCAAGGGGGGGAGGGCAGTGGGAGCCGGCGGGGCTCCTCGCGCGGGCAGGCCGCCCTCCCTGGGGCGGATGCGGCCCACGTGCTGGCAGTCGTCGTGGTCGTCGTCGTCTTGGGGCCCTTTGCTCTCCCTCCGCCAACCACATCTTCGGCCACGCCTGTCCTATGAGGCGGACGGAGAAGGCATCTCCACCCCTTGAAGGCTGAATGAGGGAAGGAGAAGGGGGAAGGGGGGACAGAGGCAAGCGGAGAGGGAGAGCGGGGCGGTCGGTGGGCCTGGAGGGGGGGGGGGGATCAGGGAGGGGCGGGGGATGGCGAGGGCGGCCTCTGGCGTGGGCCACGAAGGCACTGCCTGCTATTTCTCCCTCGCACCCCAGAGGGGTCATGAAGCCCGCTTACGCTTCTGACCGCGCTGCGGCTTGCCTGCGGAAGCCGCCAATGACGCCGACGCCGCCGTGAGCTGGGGCGCTGCCTCCAAGCGCCACTTGGATAACGCACGCACGGCAATGAAGTTCCTCCCGATGTGGATTGCTTCGCAATGCAGAGACCTCAAGGCGGCCACGTCGAAACCAGTGAGGATAGCGTGCAGGGCGCGCCTGGTTCTGCCAGCTGGCGCGAGTTTGCGCCGGCGCCGCCACTCGTTCCGGAGCGCGGCCACCATATTCCCAGATGGATCGCCCCACACCTTGCTGCCGAGCCGAGTGTTGTTACCAAGCCCGCGGGTGCGTAAGTCCATGGAGCCGGCCAAACCCAAGACTTTACGGCCCCCCAACACATGCGGAAGCATAAGGATCCATCCATGGCGGAAAATGGTGCCTTGGAGCAATTCCCGGATGTCCTCCTCGCCCAAGAGCTCGCCTCGTTCGTCTCCCAGCCAATCGAACGCCGGGGCAAAGAAGAAAGCACTCAGCGCCCCTAGTGCCTTCTCGTGGGTGTATTCCTGAAAATCGATGTCCAAGCGCTGCTGGGCGCCATTCTGGAACACCGAGGCCTCAACGTAACGCTTGTTGGAAGCGTTTCCGGCAAGGTCGGGCCGGCGGTGCTTCCCGGCTGCCGCGAGGAGCGCGGCGCAGAGCCCGACAGCATCATCACCAAAACTCCGGCAGCGGCGGAGACTCTGGAGCATGTGCAACGCCAAAGCTTTCGATCGGAGAAAAAGCAGCCACACCATCAATCCCACGGAGAGCACGCTGAGCGGAGGGTGGCCTAAAGCAAGGCAGCATCCGTCGCTGCTCTTAAGAATTGCGTGGACGAAGGAGCCGCGGGCGGCGGCCCGAAGATTGTAACACTTGCCCCCATAGTTCAGCAAACGGGTTTCGCAAAGCGGACAGAACTGGCGTGGCAGCGGTGTCACACATTTGGAAGAGCGCCAATTCCGCTAGCGTTTGGACGGAGGCGAATATACTCAACAACCCCAAGAGCAGCGCAGTGAGGTCACCGCAGCCAGCAGCGGCGCTTGTTCTGAGGAGCCCTCATGCAGCCCTGTAGGGCCTCTAGTTGGTCGCAGCTCTGGGCTCCGCGGCACCCCATGCCAGCAAGCCCACAGCTGCGTCGGCGAGGGAAAGCTTGTGCCTTGTTCCCCCTCCCTCCATTCAGCAAAATCAGCGGCGCCCAAGCCGTTGCAAAAGCCAGGCGGGCTCCCCCCCCACACCAGCTGCCACAGCAGCGCCCCTATGACTCTCAGGAAACTCACGGGTTTGAGCCAAAATGGCTGCGGCACGGATCCCAGTCCTTCTGATGCCCCGCTGGCATGGCTGAGGAATGGAATACGCCCCAGCCCACGCACGGAAACCAAACTTACAACCCCTATGGCGTGGCTGGGGATGGAGGGCGCCCCAGCCCACTTTTTCTGGCGTGGCTGGGGACTGGCATTGGCCCCAGCTCACGCTCCGCTTCCTATCTTACTGTATCCCCTCTGGACATGTTTGGGGGAAGTCTGTCGTCCCAGCGCCCGTATGGAGATAGCCAGAGCCGAACAACCAGCCAACAGCCAAACAAAATGGTTGGAACATTTGCGTGATTCTAAGAATTTGTAGAGTCACGCAAATTTCAGGACCGGCCAGCCTCCGCACGAGAGGGTTGGAACATTTGCGCGGCTCTTAAAAATTTAGAGGCACGCAAATTGAGGACCGCCACACCGGACCCCTCTCGGGTTCCAAAAGCATCAGATTTTCGAGTTGAGTCCACCCGCGGCGACGAGGAGGGACACCGAGGGCCAGAAAGCAAACGAACACGAAACACAGGCTTCGAGGTTCAAACCTCGACGTGAACCTTCTCGTTCAAAGGCGACTGATCCGCTCCAAGCGGGCTCCCGGTCCCCTCCTGGAGTTGCCCCGATGCAGTCGGGGAAGAGGAAGGAGGAGGAAGGGGGAAAGAGGGAGGAGGGAGGGAGAGAGGTGACGAGGCGGGGGAGAGCGAGGAGGCAAGATGTTGTCCTATCCCAACTTATGCCAAAGAATGGCACTGCCTGCGTCGGGCTTCGTCCCAGCATGCAGGGTGGGCTCGCCCCCCCCCCCATCCAGCTTCCTACACCGGCCCACCTCCCTAACGACGAAACGAAGACATGATGCCCCACGGCCTAGGACGAATACGGAAGACCTAAACAAAACACCTAATCCTAGCCCCCCCCCCCCCGAACAGGCACCCAGTGGACCAGCGCCTGGGAGTTGGATTACTGTGCGGTGCTATAACGCGTGTAACCTTCCTGGCTGGGGCGGCCCCCAGCGTTGCCCTACACACCTAAGGTAGGGCGCACCCCCCCCGCATAAAGGCGACCTTGGTTGGGCTGTTTTCCTCCTCGGAGCGCTCAAAGTCGGTGCCGGCGGAGGAAAGAATGACAGGAGTGGCGGCCGTTAGGCTACCTTCTCTTGTCCCGCTGGATAAAGGCTGCCCTGCCCCCCCTCAAACGGGGGGCTGCACAGGTTATCACTCTTCAAACAGAGTGCCCGCAGGATCGCGGCGGAGGGCGGCCTCTGGGAAACTGGGCGGTGGGGTTGGGACTGGCTTGGGTGAGAGAGGGGATGTGGGTAAGGGAGCGCTGCGTTGGTGGCTAATCCGCCGCAACAGGCCGAGGCATGATAGTGGGAGGGCGGCAAGCGAGTGAAGCTGAATGACATCGTGTGAGACATGGTGTACCTTAAACAATGCACGCGATTCCCACCAGCCCTCTGGGCGTCGGTGGTTTAGAGCGTTTCCTCTTCCACCCCTCCTTCTTCCCCTTCGGGGAGGGGTTTACCCCTCCCCCTACCCCCTCCCCACTGTCCTGGACAGGGGGGGCCGCGGGCAGTTAGAGCGTCCAAGATCGACTCCTGGCTAAAATTCGACACCCCTCACGAGGATCGTGGCTCCTGAGGGGGGGGCTGTAATCAGGGAATCCCCCTTCGTTGATCGATCTCCTCCAAGATTGTTCCAAAAGACGTCTTGGACCCCCTCTTGGGCTCTGCGCGCGGGCGGGCGGAGCGCCGCCCGCCCGCCCGCAAGGCCCAAGAGCCCACCAAAACGTTCGAAGACACTTCCAATACGCCACCAGGGAGGAGGAAGAGGCGGAGGAGGAGGAGGAGGAGGAGGAGGAGGAGGAGGAGGAGGAGAGGGAGGAGGAGGAGAGGAGGAGGAGGAGAAGGCGGAGGAGAAGGAGGAAGAGGGGAGGAGAACAGCTGCCGATCATCGGCGCTCTTCGTTCGAGTGCCTGGTGTAGGATGGGCTGGTGGGGATACGCGAAGCGTCAAGAATTCAGAAACCCGATCATACCTTCGCGGCTGCTCTGCCATATCCGCCGCCGGCGCGCTGGCCCATTCAGAGCCCACGCTAACCAGGAGGAGGAGGAGGAGGAGGAGGAGGAGGAGGAGGAGGAGGAGTCGCCTCAGCCCCTCGAAAAAGGCCCACCACACCGCCCCGGCGCGGCCTGCCCGTGCGTGTGCGCGCCGTAGGCGTGCAGGGAGCCTGACTACCTACCAGACCACCCCAACCCAACCCGAAGACCCCAATTTCGGGTTGGGGGGGTACGGGTTCCAGATGTGTTTTTTCAATGTTCCCCGACCCCCCCCAACTGGAAATGGAGGGCAAATTGAGGCCTGCGGGTTGGGTTGGGGTGGTTTGGTGGGTGGTGAGAGCCCAGCCACTGGCACACGGTGCCCAGCGACACCAGGCTGCTCCCCAGCACGGCCGCGAAGAGCAGCCACAGGCCGGCGCCGGCCCCCATTTTGCAGCAGAGCGGAGGCTCGCTTCACCGAGTCCCCACCCGCCTCACCACACTTACCAGCCTGGAACATATCCCTATCCCTATGCTGGGCACCTCCTCATCACGATGCCAATCTTAGGGATTCCCTTATGTTTTGAGGGCGAATTCCTTAGAATGTCATCGCCTTTTGGCGTGTCAATCTTAGGGATAGGGATACGTTCGAGGCTGGTAACACACGGTGTGGCCACCACCCCAGTTTGGGGGGCCCCCGGCTCCTGGGGCGGCCCGGGGGCGCCCCGGGGAGGCTCGGGGAGGGGGCGGGGGCCCGGAGTGCACCCTGGCGGCCCCTGCTGTGCTGCGGCCCTGGCGGCTCGGGGCTCTTCTGGGCCGGGTCAATCCAGGCCCGGGTCAGCAGGAAATCACAAAACTGCAATGCAGGAGAAAACTGCAACGCAGATTCTCGCAGACACCGGTCACCCAATATGCGCGGCCGAATCGCGGCCACGAGCGGCTCGCTAACCCGGGTCAGCAAGAGGGGGTCTGGCTCTCAGGCTGACCCCCGTTTGCATTGACCCCCGTCTCGAGGCTCCCGAGTGACCCCCCAGGCCGAGCTTCGGGCGTATGAAAGGTAGCCAGCGCCTGGGGAAACGAAGTCCTAGGTTTAGGTCGGGCGAGTCCCCGTACAGGCGGATTTTGGACGAAGAAACGAAAATAGTCAAAAAGGAATCGAAAGATGCTCAGAAGTACGCAAAAAGCCGTCCCATATTATTTTTGACTATATGGTTGAATATTTCCCCCTGTAGAGGGACAGGCCCGACTTCATGCTCGTTCTGGGCACCCTGGAACCGATCTTCCTGGACCTCGGCAATCGGCGGCGAGCGAGGGGGGGAGATGAGAATGAAAAGGCCTTCTCAGAAGGCGGCGGGACTTCTCAGAAACCCCTTGTGCCTTCTGAGAATGGTCTGCGTCTCTGGAAGTGCCTCGAAAACTTCTCAGAAGGCAGGGGGCCTTCCGAGCCTTCTGAAAAGGCCTTCTCCTCGTCACCTCCCCCACGGGCTTACCGCCGAGGCAAGTGGTGGACGGGAGTACATCGGGGTCGCGCAGACACGGATCGGGGGAGGTGCCCCCCCCCAAATGTGGCCGGTGCCGCCTCGTTCGGCGGCGGAAATCCGCGATTCCTCGTGGAAACGGGACCCGTCGCCAGTCCATGCCCCCTTGATCCATGCTGGCGATCGCCTGGATACAGCTGGGCCCCAGAGGGGCCCGAAGGTTTCCACGGCCTCCGCCCCCCTCGACGGGAAGATCGGGTCGACGGCGGCGCTGCTCGCAGGATGGGTGGGGGCGGGGAGCGCGCGCGGAGTTTGGGGGGCCCCGGAGCTGGCCAGCACCGGCGCGCTCGCTCCCGAGCTGTCGGGAGAGCCCAGGATCGGATCGACGATGCGGGTCGGCGATCGACACGAATCGGACCAGCGGAAATCGGCAGCCGAGGCGGGGAAAGTCGAATCGGCGGACGTCGGCAGGTCAGTAGGCCTCCGCTGAGACATGGAGAGCCCACATCGGAATCCGAAGCCGACTCGCATCGGAACCGGAGGCCATGGAAGTCGGATCGACGCGACTCGGAGGAATCGGAGCGAGCCCTGCCCCCCCCCCCCCCAGGCTGTTGGCCCGCAGCGCCCGCGGTCGTTTTCGAGCGCGCTCGGAGAGCCGGCGGGGGGGGGGGGCCTGCCGCGCCGCACGCCCCCCGACAGGGCGGGAAGGAAGGCGAGGGCGGCCGCGTTTGGGGGAGAGGAGGCCTCCGCCGCAGAGGGCCATAGGGCTCCTGGAGAGCGGCGCTGCCCCTCTTCGCGCCGCACGCTCCCCGACGGGGCGGGAAGGAAGGGCGAGGGCGGCCGCCGGCAGAGGGCCTGCGCGGCGCTGGGAGAGCGGCGGCCCCCCACTCCGCGCCGACCCCTCGGGGATCTTCTGACCCGGGCCAGTCCAGACCCGGGTCAGCAGGAAACCACAACACTGTAATGCAGGAGAAAAAAAAAAACAGGCAACGCAGATCTTCGCAAACCCGGGTCAGCCAGTACGCGCGGCCGCCTCGCGGCCACCAGCGGCTCGCTGACCCGGGTCAGCCAGAGGGGATCTTCGCAGGATCCTGCAGGATCTGGTGCCCTGGCTGACCCCCGTTTGCATTGACCCCCGTCTCGAGGCTCCCGAACCCCGCGGCGCTGCAAGCTTCCGGGCCCTGGCTCGCGCGAGACCTCTGGGGAGCCGGGTGGCTCGGGCGTTGCTTCACGGATAGAGATGGGTGGGGGCGGACAGGGGGCCCTCTGGCGCGCCTTCGGGGTCCCAGGGGGGGTCTCCTCCTCTGAAGCCCCGTCAGGGCCCCTGCGCACTGCAACCTTCGATGCCCAACCCCGGATACATGGCCCCCCTGCCATCTCGAAACTGGGAGGACAAGCAAACAGCGTAGACATAGTTCCCCGAGGTCCGCGCGGCTCTCTTGGATCGGCGCTGGGGCCTCCCCTGGCCAAGAACTCCGCGCGGAACTCCGAGAAAGTATGCTTGCGCCGTTTCTGCTCCTCTGGGCAGGGCCCCCCACCATGGCACCCTCACCAGCCCGAAATCCGCCACCGTGCCGCGAGGCGCGAGGGGAGTTTTCCCCAGGCTCTCATGCGTTCTCTGTCCTGAGCCCTGAACCCTAGCATTCTGGGAGCTAGGGCCCAACATTCTCGGCCTGTCCAGGCTCCAATTAGCAGAGCGGCGTTCTGCCAATTTGCCTGCAAGCATACGCACTCGCTGCTACTCCCCTCATTCGCAGAACGCTGCTCTGCTAACTGGCCTCGAAGGTTCCCCATCCTGCTCGGGCTCTGATTAGCAGAGCGCCGCTCTGCTAGTTGGCCTCAGAGCATATGCGCCGTCACTGCTCCTCCTCTCATTAGCAGAGCGCCGCTCTGCTAATTCAACTCAGAGCAGGCACACATTGCTCATGCTTGATTCACCCGAGGGTTCCCAAACGGCCAAGAGGGCCTCAAGAAGCGCCCAAGAGGGTCCGAGAGGCCTCCAAGGCGGCGCAAGAGCGCTCCAAGACGCCCAAGACGTCCCCACGACGGCCCAAGAGGCCCCACAAATGCCCCAAGAACGCCCCGAGAGAACCTCTAAGAGGGCCCCATTTGGCAAACATCACATATGTTCCTTGTGTTGTCACAGCATTTCGCGCCTCGCGTGTTCGAGCTACCGACGCTCCTAGATGGCCCAAGAGGCCCCCAAGACCGTCCCAAGACAGCCCACGAGGCCCCCAAGAGGGATCCAAAAACGGCCCAAGAGGTGTCCAAGACGGCCCCATAGATCCCTGAGACTGCCCACGAGGGGCCCAAGAGGGGGAACACGAACCGACAATTCGAGGCATCCGCCCAAGGAGCCCCCAGGAGGCCCCACAAGACATCCACGAGGCCCCAAGAGGCGCCCAATGGGCCTCAAGAGGCCCCCAACCGACCCAAAAAGATGCCACAAGGAGCCCCCAAACGGCCCTCAGGAAGCCTCAGAACTGCCTCCAAGAGACCCCCGAGGGGCCCTCCCATGATACCCCAACGAACATCCAAGAGGCATCTGACCCACAACCCAGGCACGGTGGCGGGATGAAGGTCACTAGATAGCCGTTGGGCCTGCCAATTTCCATTGGAGGACGTTCCAGAACATGGGGGAAACGCAGTGAAACCCGTGCACCCCACAGCCCGAAAGTTTGGAGGATCTGGGACCTTCGGGTTGGGTTGGGGCGTTTTGGCAAATACCCGTCGACCAAAAGAAGTAGGTGTAAACATGAGATGGGAAGGCGTTGAAAGAAGATTGGGTTCCGTCCGGCCCCTTGGGAGGACGGAAAAGGTGAAGCCACTCGATCATTGAGCCAGGAAGGCGCTCATAGTAGATTGGAATCTGGGGATCAACAAATACCTACTTGTCAACGTTTTCTTATTCGGCGTTTCGACATTGGGCGGGAGGGGGGGGGAGAGGCTCCGGATGCGTCCATTATGGGGGAGGCTGGTTGCAGCCGCTGGTTGCAGCAGTGCGTCCATTATGGGGGAGGCTCCACCTGCCCGAAACAGGCACCCAAAAAACAGCCAAGATCCAGTCCCTGGTTGGAGGGAAAGGGGGGGGGGGGGGGCGAGACCCGCGCCGAGCGGCAAAACAATGAACAAGAAAACGATCACTCTTCAGTGACCAATGGGTAGTGTGAGGTCGGGCATGTCCCCCTACAGGCGGATTCTGGACGGAGACATCTTTTACTATGCCTGAATATGAAGGGGCCCAAGGACACACAAATACTACACACAAATGAAGGGATTCCCCGTATTTTCGCACATTTGTTGGGTTTGTGTCTTCTTCCCCCCCACTTCCCGTATTCTTCCATAGTTCCTTGGGAATCGACGATTGATTCTGTCTGTGTTTTTTTGGGCGCCCGAGTTATCCGGGATAACTCGGGTCCGGGGTAACTCGGGTTTGGATTCCCGAAAAAGGAACCCGAGTTATCCCTGACCCGAGTTACCCCTGATGATTCGGGGCTCTTGGACGCCCGATTTATCCGGGGTAACTCGGGTCCGGGATAACTCGGGTTCGGAATCCCGAAAAAGGAACCCGAGTTATCCCTGACCCGAGTTATCCCTGATGATTCGGGGCTCTGATTTTTCCCCTCCTGAGAGTGTTCCTCCTGGACAGGGACGGCGCGGGAAGGGGGAGAGGAGGCCGGGCTCTGCGGGGGCCGGCGCTCCGAGGCGCGGCCCCTGGAGCCAAGATGTGGGCGGCGTGCGCGCGGGCGGCGGAGGAGGGGTGGCGGAGGGGAGGGGGAGGAGGGCAGGAGAGGAGGAGGAGGACGAGGGACGCGGAGAGGAGGGGAGCAGGAGGAGGAGGAGGAGGAGGAGGAGGAGGAGGAGGAGGAGGAGGAAGTGGAGGACGAAAGAGAGGAGGAGGAGGAGGAGAGAGCAGGAGGAGGAGGAGGAGGAGGAGGAGAGCAGAGGAGGAGGAGGACGAAAAGACGGGGGAGGAGGGGAGCAGGAGGAGGAAGAGGAGGAGGAGGAGGAGGAGGGGGAGGAGGAAGACAAAGAGGAGGAGGAGTAGGATGAGGAGGGGGTCGACTATGAGGAGAAGGAGGCGGACGAGGAGGAGGAGGAGGAGGAGGAGGAAAAAGAGGAGGAGCACGACGAGGACATGGACGAATGGGAGGAGAAGGAAGAGGACGAGGACGCGCGCCTCTGCAGCAGATGTCTAATCCGCCGGGCCCCCCTGGGGGCCAACAGGCTGGGAGGCGTGGGGTGTCCAGCTCCATGCACCATGTTTGGCTCGGAAATGGAGATTAAGATGTTCCCTGTTCGAGTTCCACTGCTGTAATGATTGAGATCCTGGCATGAGGGGGAACGGACCCGCTAACCACGCCAGAATCACGTTCCCTGATCTTCCGGAGGGGGGCTGGGGCCGCGTATCTATATATGTATATATATATATATATATATATCAGATTCGCGTTCCCAGGGCCAGAATCCCTTGTAAATTACGTCGCGCTCGCGCTCCCCAAGCCACAATCCCACGTACATTACGCAAGGTTCGCTCCCCACAAACATCACTCCCTCGTAACTTACAGCTGTGCTCACGCTCACAAAGCCCCAATCCTGTGTAATATGCGATGCGTTCTCGCCCACGACGCCACAATCCCTGACAAACTACTAGTTATCGGTTCGCGCTCCCGAGAGCGCAAACCCTGGTAAGGTACAACAGCGCTTCGTCCTCGAAACCACAGATCTTTGTAAATAACGCCGTGGCGCTCCCGACGCGACAATCCCCAATAAATTACGCCACCCTCGCGCTCACCAGACCACATCCATCATGCATAATGCCAGATTCGCGCTCCCGAAACCACAACCGCTTCAAACATTACGACGCCATGCATACTCTAGAGGCCTCCTAGATGGGGTCCGAGTGGATGGGGTCGGAGGATCGCGCCGCATCGCCGATGCATCGGCGATACGGCTCGATGTGGAGCCTGACTTCCTCCACGCCGAGGAAATCAGGCCGTCGTGGATTCATGCTGGGCGGTGTTCTGGCTGCTTCTGGCCGCCTGCTGTGGGTAGGGAGCAAAAGTCCAGAGAGCCAGCGTCCATATCACTGATCCGCTGGTAATGATGACGGGCATCGATCGGCCACACGGCATACCTGAGTCCGTTCGGCACTGGGATGGAGAAGAAATCAAACGCAGGGAGACGTACAAGCATACACCTGCTGGAAAGAATCCCCCTATTGCAGAACAATGCATCCCGTCTTAGAGCCGTACCCGCCTCATCTGTGAAGCGTCTCGAATAACGTTTAGTCCCGCTCTAGGACCGCAAGGCAGCCCGTGTAATGCACGAGTTTCCGCTACGATGATGTCCAATGAAAAGAAAGAGAGGAGGATAGGCGGCGGAGAGAGGAACGAGGAAAGGGAGGGCGAGGAGTGGATGGAGGCAGGGAGGGAGAGGAGGGACAAGAGGGAATGAAAGGACGAACGAACGGGGAGGAGGTAAGGAGGAGTGAGGAGAGAGGAGGGCGGAAGCAGGGAGGGAGAGCAGGGCAAAGGGCGGAGGAGAGGGAGAAGAGGGATGGAGCGCGGATGGGAGGAGAGGGGGCGAGGAGGGGGGAGCGAGGCAGCGAGCAGCGAACGGGCAGCAAGGCGACGGAGCGGGGCCGAGGAGACAGGTCAACGCGGCGCAAGAACTGGCACCCCCGCAATGGTACGTACGCAAAAACACGGGTACGATGCCAAACAACAGATGGTGTCGAGACCTGCCACGGGCCGCTGTCAGGCAGGCGGTTGATGCATTTTTTCCGCACCATCCTCTGTGGTGTTGGGTCCTGATTTTGACGAGCCCGCGCCCCACGCACTGCTCCTCCTCCTTCTCCTCCTCCTCCTCCTCCTTCACCTGCTGCCTTCCATATTGGCACACACACACATACATCACTCGCTTCGTGGCCCCATACGGGGTTCCACCTAAGGCCTCTGTGGCGCAGTTCGCATGTGGGCGTCACGCCCGTTTGGGCACGCCCCCGGGAGCTCCACCGAGTGCCCGCGTGGCGCAGTTCGCATATGGGCATCACGCCCGTTTCGGCACGCCCCTCACACGCTTTGTGGCCCCATAGGAAGCTCCACCGAGTGCCTTCGTGGCGCAGTTCGCATACACCCGTTTCGCCACACTCCTCACACGTTTCGTGGCCCCATAGGGGCTCCACCGAGTGTCACTGTGGCGCAGTTCGCATGTGGGCGTGACGCCGATGTCGGCACAACCTTCACACGTTTCGTGGCTCCATAGGAAGCTCCACCGAGTGTCACTGTGGCGCAGTTCGCATGTGGGCGTCACGACGATATCGGCACACTCCTCTCACGTTTCGTGGACCCATAGGGAGCTCCACCGAAGGCCTCCGTGGCGCAGTTCGCATGAGGGCGTCACACCCGTTTCGGCACACCCCTCACACGCTTCGTGGCCCCATAGGGAGCTCCACCGAAGGCCTCCGTGGCGCAGTTCGCATGAGGGCGTCACACCCGTTTCGGCACACTCCTCACACGTTTCCAAGCCCCAAAGGGGGTGCCACCGAGTGCCTCCGTGGCGCAGTTCGCATGCGGTTCCCCTCCCATGTCGGCACTCTCCCCATACGTTTCGCGGCACACCCCTCAGACGCTTCGTTGCCCAGTAGGGAGCTCCACCGAAAGCAATTGCCACAACGCAGTACTCACAACTGCAGATGGTTGGGTCCTTCGCCCGACGAATTCCGGACTGACCACGCCCGCCCGCGGCGACGCTGACAGCGAGCCCGGCTCAAAATGGCCAGGATCTGGTGACGGCCTTCGAACGAGTCGGGTCGGGCGAAAGGGGGGGATAGCGAAGGGGGGGTTTGAGAATCAGCTTACGTAGCTGATGTTTCCGGCGCCGGGAGGCGCCGGAGGCGACGATGTATCAAGGAATGGGCACCTCGGTGGGGCCGAAACCAGCTGCATGCAGCAAATTTCCTAAATCCCCCTTTCCCAATCCCCCCCTTTCGCCCGGCCCGAACGAGGGGTACAGCGACCCCAATCCCAGACTGTTCACGAATGGGCCGAGAACCGAGGCGAACCCAGAGAGGACATACGACGGGGGGGCGTTCACCCTCGACGTGGGTGCGCCCAGATAGGCTCAAGTCGGGCCTGTCCCCCTACAGGAGGATTTTCGACGAACAAAATCAAACATACCCAAACAATAATCAAAAAACAGTCCGGGGACCATGTTTCGGGGATGTTTTGACCTTTTTGGGGTACTGCTTAGGGAATGTTTCATTATTCGTGGAAGATCCCCCTGTAGGGGGACAGGCCCGACGTAAGGATAGACCCCTTGGGGGCGCATCCCCAAGATAGTCATCGCCTCTTGGCGTGTCAATCTTTCGGCGGGGGACAAACCTCCCTTTCGTAAACCTCCCTTTAGGGAAAACGACCTAGGACCGAAACCGACGGGCCTGGACCCGCAAAAAGAACGGCCGCGACGTCCTCTCGCGAACCGAAAACGGCCAATCCACGAATCGACGCGTCAGGGTAGGAGGTCTATCCACCTGCGAATTTCTGGGCATCGCTCGGACGTCCATTCCCTGTTTTTTTGGTTTCGTGCGTGTTTCTTTTATTCGCCTAATCATCAAGGAGGCTCCTCGATGGTCCTCGCCGAAGGAAAAATGCACTCGTACGAGCGATGCCAAGATTTTTGGGATAGGGATAAGTTCGAGGCTGGTGAGCTCACCCGCGACGTGGGTGCGCCTGGCTCGACCTCCTGGGGGGCGCCTCCCCGAGCTCTGCGCCGCGCTCTGAGCGGCGCAGCTCCTCCAGCGGAGCTGGAGAAAAGGGCTCCCTCTCCTCCTCCTCCTCCTCCCCCTCCTCCTCCTCCTCCTCCTCCTTCTCCTCCTCCTCCTCCTCCTCCTCCCCCTCCTCCTCCTCCCCCTCCTCCTCCTCCCCCTCCTCCCCCTCCTCCTCCTGTCGCCTCCTCCGCCTCCAGGGCAGAGCACCCGTGCTCTGAGGGGGCCGGGGCTGGAGAAAAGGCCTCGGGTCGCGTGCAGCGGGGGGCCAGCCCACAAAAAAGCCCTCCACAGGCAACCCCAAAGCCTGAGACCTCGGGACGCCCATGGACGTCTGGCGCGTGGGAACGTCGCGCTTCTTCCATCGCAAAACCATCAAGACCCAAGAGACCCAGGGCACCCTGGAGGCAAGGATTAAGTCGGGCCTGTCCCCCTACAGGGGGATTTTCGACGGAAACTAAAAACAAATACCTCCGAAATCCCCCCAAAAAGGTTTAAAAAAATACTCGAACAATAGTCCCCAGACTATGTTTGGACTATTTTGTTGACTATGTTTGGGGTGTTTTGCATGTGTCGTCGAACATCCCCCTGTAGGGGGCCAGGCCCGACTTAAGGCAGGCATAGTGTTCTTCTTGGCACGGGCCCCCGCTGCACGGGCGGCCTCCCCGGGAAGCCCCCGCGACGGCCTCCGCCGCGGGCCCCCCCGAGCAGGCCCCGCTGGCCTCCGCCGTCGCCCCCAGAGGGGCCCTCCGCGGGGCTTAGATTTTGAGAGGGCTAAGTCGGGCCTCTCCCCCTACAGGGCATTCTCGTCGAGAGATAAAACATACCAAAACAATAATCCGAAAATAGACCAAAAATGATCAGGGAACTATTTTTTGCATGTTTGTTTTGCCTTTTTGGGCCACTCTGAAAGTATTTTTGATTTTTCGTCGAAAATCCCTCTGTAGGGGGAC